CGAGGACTAGCGACAGTGACGCAGCACGCAAAAAGATGAAAAGAACAGCTTGTACCAATAGCAATCGCAGTAGAATATTTTATACTTATCTCGTATCAGATAAAAAACGAGCTGGTTTAAACGCTGTCATAGGCAAAAAAGGGACGGATGGGCGGAAAGGACCCGAAAGAGCATTTATTATCCTTCCAATTCCAATTATGAAGTGTTTGAGTCTACGCTGAGAAAAATCATCGGTAGTCAAAGATCAACGTGAAAAAATCATGGCCACCGCACAGGGAATATGAAAGTACAATATTTCATGCAGTAGCAAACTTCACGGCAATATCAACAAGTTCTTTAGTATTAGACCATCCCATTCAGAAGTGCGGAAGATTTTATTCATATAAAACGAGGAGGAAACCAGATAAAAAACTAATTTTTGGGTTCTGAGTTATAGATGCCTCATTCACCAGCGACCTGCTCCCAGTGCCAAAAGCGTTTGGACCTTTGATGCCTTCGTTCAACAAGTGCGAGTAAATTGCTGTTGATGCCAATTTCGGCGAATGACAAAACATTGTAGCGTTTGCCGTCGGAGAGTACCTTCGACTGACCAGAACAGTTGGAATCGAACGGCTTTATGTTGGCGAATGGAGCGATTGAAGGTCAAGTCTCAGTATTGTTTGCGTGCTAGCACTGCCCTATAATACAGTTACTCGGATCTGGCACTAAAGAGAGTAACCGTGACCTCCTTGTAGTTACGTGCTACCATCCATTTGTCGATATGATCGTCGAAAGAGAGCCAATATATGTCGACAGTGACGATTTTGTACTCTGTATAGAGCCGCTTGAAAGCCACAGTGCAGAAATCCTTCGCTATGATGATCATCCACTTGCGCCCACGTAACTCTCATGGTAGAACTCGGGCGGCTTCTCATCTGCATTCATACAAAATTGACGATTGTGAGTTTTGGCTCTGAGTTCAAGACCACCCACATTTCATCTTGGACGCGTGCGTTTTCGCAGTCGTAAATCAGGTCTTATACGGAGAACATTACTGCTAGAGGCATAGAATCGGTACTGCGTTCGTGCTTCTACAAGAAAATTAGGTACCCATGCGCACACCCTCTTGACCATCCTCAGTTTATCGGACATAACTCGGGCAGCAGTTGCAGCAGGGATGTCAGTCTCGCGGGGAAGCTCGACAAGGTCCAGCTCTGTGATCAGATATTCAGCGCTTGACTTCATCCACCCTTTCTTGTGCAGGCTGAACATTATGGTACCATACACGATGACAAATTTTTTTCCTTTCTTCCTTCGGGGCCCTAAACCAAGTCTTCCTTTTTGCATTTTGAGAACACCATTACACGCAACTACTGGTCCGGCACAGGTCAAATTTGAGCAGCGCACTTTCCTCTTATGACGTCTGATTTGAAAATCCGGCGCTGATTTTCACCACTCGGGCTTCAATTTCTCGAGAACTTCTTCTGGGCTAGGTTCGCCAAATTTCACAGATACATAGCTAAAGGTACTAGCTTCCAAATGGTATGGTAGCCCGTTTCCATGTCTCTTTCGCTTTCTTGCCATGTATACGTCTCCACATTTCCGAATGGGATGACCCAGTAGAAGCGGAGACATACTGCTGGCATTTTAACGAGACAGCTATTAAGGATTTGCGGGAACCAAGCGGAAAATCAAAAAAAAGACAAGTCTGAAACTCCAAAATAGCTTTCGTTTGCAAGGACACTATTCTGTCAGAGAACGATTTGTTTTATTACCGATAAGATTTGCCTTTTCGGAAGGAACTCTGAACAAGAAAAAAAGTGCCATTCAGGAGCTTATTGTGAGTAGAAACAGATGAACGATAGTGATCAATTGCTGACCGGTGCAGACATTCGTGGGCGTGTCGTTGTTGGAGAGAGTATGGATAGGTACTTAAGCCTTGCTAGGACCCTTAGAGGCCGCTTTTGTTTGGAAATGCAGAATGTAAGTGCTTTCTCAGCGTTTCTTTGGTGATTGGCGTGTTCATCTTGGATGCTTAAGACTCGTCGTGCCCTTTGCCTTTAGAGCTTTTTCCGGGAAATATGCAGAGACCCTTGACCCGGATTCCAAGCAGTTCTGGACCATATCTGCATACTGTGCATTCCAAACTTTGGAAATGTCACATGAATAGCGAACTTTTCATACATATACAGCTACAGTTTGCCAGAGGTTGGGAAAACTCTCAAAGCGATAGCATTAAAACAAAAGCAGAAAGGAGGCACTACACTGTGCACTACAAAAATAATCTTTCTACACTCTCGAGTTGCACAGAAAATCCTTAGAATTTAACGATTTTGAAGGGTATCGCTGAATTTGTACCCCATCTGCTCCATGAGCGACTAACGTAGTTTGTGAAGTTGTACTCGTATGAGTTGGCGAGTAGAAGGTTGATCACAGATTGATCGTATCTGTAAAAGACGAGCAGTTATTTCAGCATTGAAGAGGGCTCGTTTGCTACATAGTCTGAGGAGAAAAACAAGAGTCTCGCTCAAGTTCTGGAACAAAACGCTTTCACAGCTGTCCACTCTCTTCGAATGTGTCACATTTATCCAAAAACTGAAACAAACAATGAGAATGCAAATAGGTTCCTACAGCGGCGTACGAGATGTTTGATAGCACGTATCCTTCTACATGATCCTCTAACACATACTGTTGCGAATCGGGGTTGCTCCGCGAGCAGGACGGCGGGAGAGGGGAGTGTTTCGCAGCGCTGCATTGATTGATGGTCTCCAATCTCCCTTCGCCCTACGCCCCATCTCCCATGCGCGGCAAGTCCTGGACTACGGGTCGAACAGCCTTATCCTGCTTGCCTCTCTCTGCGCCATCGATTAAGATCAGCCCGCCGAACTAATGCACCACAACAAGATGACTGGTAGGAATCGCAAGGCAAAACCTCCTCTTGTACTAGAACAGAGTTAGGGTTAGCAACTTTATGAGCTTTGGTAAAGTAACATGAACTACCTATCAGTAAAGAAGATAACTCAGTCAACGGTTCCGTCGAGGGGATCTACGAACCTTTAGAACGTAAAGCACTACGGAACTCACGGAGATGATCGATATCTCGCCGCCAACTGAGCGGATGTTGAAGTAGCCTTGAGCATATTCTCACTGATAGTTCTAAGGGCCCACGCCCTAGCAATAGCCGCCGCCGGTCGTGGGTCGACCAAGGGAGGATAGACGTCGTTGCTATTCTAGAAGAATAACAGACAATACGTAGCATCCGGCTACTGGCAAGGTGTGCCGCTGGATTAGGTAGAGTGTTAGTTCAGGGCCGACTGACGAATGGAATAGCTGAGTCGGGAGAAGGTTAGTAGTCGACCGCTCTGGAGTAGACGGAGAGGAGGAAGTGAAGGCTGCTGTGATCGATGCCACCGGGGTGGCAGCGGTTTCCCGCGCGATCATGCTGGAATAGGCAAAAGCGTAGGTCACGGCGGCAGGCTACGGTAGGCGCCAGCACACCCGGGAGAAACCCTTGGGAGCGATCCTCGCGATTCGCGACACATACCATCACGATTCAGAGTGGTGTAGATCCTGACGAGTTCCAGTTCGCAAACAACCGCTGCGGTGATACAACCGCTTGCCACTGCCTCATTTAACGACGCTTTAGCAGGGCAGCGCTCACACTTTGCTGTAACGTCCACCAGCGACCAATAGCGTCCACAAGCAAGCGTTCCGAGGTCCTACAGCGTCAGCGACCAGGAAAGTATGATATCGATCTAGCGTTTGCCGGCGTCTACCGGTTCTTGCCAGCGTCCACCTGCGACCGGTAGCGTTTCGAGGGCTGGGGAGGCGTAGGTATCGATCTAGCATCTGTCAGCGTCTGGCAGCGTCCACCAGCACTATCGCTCCATACTATCCACTCCCGGAATTTGTTACTCAGTGGTAGAGCTGAGATGTTGGATAGGTACCTCGCTCTAGCCCTTAAGGAGCTGCTGGCCGCTGGTGGACGCTGACAGGAACATTCCTTATCCCTGAGTCGGAGTAGGCGTGGCATTTGAACATGGCACGGAACTGGTTACTCGTGGAATATTCCAGTCTGGGACAACTGTCATCTTGTTCTGTGTTGGACAGAGACACGACAACAATTGTGTCAAGATGAAAATATCTCACCAGAAGCATAGACACCTTCAGGTTAAGTTGAAGCATGCCACGCCTCTCAGGAATTCGAGTATACACGCTAGCCGACGCTAGATCGATACCTGTTCTGAAGCATGCTATACTTTTTGACACATACAAAATTAATTCACATCTCGCTCATAAACTCGAACAGACTCACCGGTTTCTTGACCTTACCACTCTTATGGTTAGAGATACTGATCCCTTCCTCTGCTAGGGCGTGCTTGAGCAATGAGAAGGATCTCTATTGTAGATATAGTTAAGGGATACAATCCCACCTTACTGTGGCCCTTACTGCCATAGCACGCCGCTTGGCAGCAAACCGCCCAATCCGCGCCACATTCGCAGGATTCATAGGCACGAGGTGCTGCCGCCTGTAATGTGGGTGCTAAACAGCTTCAGGAGGTCGATATACACTTGGGGACAGGCCAGCGAATTCTGTGATTCAGGATATTTTGGAGCCGGCGCCAGTGGCCCGGATGCTAGGCAGTTTCAGGATAAGCGAATGTGCTACTCGTTTTGAGAAGGTGGGAGCACCCTTAGGAACAAGTTTTCATCCAAATCAGTCCGCGGAGATAAAGTAGAGGGATAAAGCAGTTCCCCCAACTGGCCTAACCAGGACTAGGGCAGTAGGGGGAGAATATGCCTCTCCTATGATTCCCATGCTATTGCATGCGATCGTACTACCCAGAAGCTTGCAAAAGGGGTCTCTTTGTCTCCACGATTATCAGGTTACATTTTGCGGCTGTTTCGCCACACTTTTGAAGGTTTTTGTGCTCGTGATAATGTTCTATCATTGCCGTTCCCTCAGCTACTGCACCAATATGGCACCAACCTCTCTCTTCAAAAAATCATTTCTTATGCGCCTACCGATGACAATGAGCGTACTGGGTGAAGCGATCACCGCTGAATTTACAGCTAAGCTGCGATCCTGGCGGAGCCATGCAGTCCTTTTCCAATGCACATAATATCAACCTGCAAGAGGCCTTCGGTACGCAGCTTTTTCCAAGCTGAGACTATAAATAAACTTGAGGGGTAAGTAATCTCACCATTTTAATATGCTGACGGTGTCTTTTGTTCTGATGACTAATGCGAAATTAGCTTCGTAAAGCTCGCATGATCTGCGCTTTAGACGATGTATTACCGTTGGAATGTATTCGTAAACACCTGTAATAGAAGAATCAAAGTAACGAGGCGGAAATGCCTGGAAAGCCGATGATCACACATCTTCAGTGAGGACACACCAGGATTAGTAGTAGCGAAGGTGCTGTGGTTAGCTGGCGCTTGCAAAAGATATCCTGACTGAAAGAGGAC